TCTTCCCTGCCCCATATTTCCATGTTCACCCCCTCCCTTTTCCTTTTACCTTTTGCTTGAAGCTCATAAAACATTTTTGGTAACTGGGTGCCGGTGGCTCACACCTGTAATCCTAGCTACTCAGGAGCCAGAGATCTGGAGGATCATGGTTGGAAGCCAGCCTAGGCAAATAGTTTGCGAGACCCTGTCTCACAAAAAGGGCTGGTAGAGTGGCTCAAGGTGAAGGCCCTGAGTTCAAACCCCAGTACAAAAAAAAAAAAAAAAGTTTTTGGTGCAAAGGAGGAGAATAAATCTATAGCAGTCCCCACAGTTATAAGTGTATAAATGACACATGTACTTTCTGAAGGATAAAGGATGGTTATTTGGATGCTTTTGGTAAGAGAAGTTAAAGTAAATCTTCACTCCTAACACATTGTTAGATGGAATGGTGAGTGTGAAAATGCACGTGAGTTAATTTGCTAAATCATATGTGCTTTGGAGCATACATGTGGCAAAATCTCAGCGGCAGAATGACATCAGTATTCATTTAGCCTGTTTAGGGCTAAATGTTGAACAGCAGCTCTGAAAATACTGAGTAAAAAGGAAATTGCTAATAATTATTACAAACTGTATTAGTAAACCAAAGGTAGTTGCACTTGCAATTTTAAGAAATCACTTGAGGTTTCAAAATCCAAATCTTTTTTTGTAACCACCATTAATCTAAAATAATAAAAGTTACTATAAATCAAAGCTATCAAAACATTAATAATCTCTAGCCAATAATAATTTCATTTTATTGTAAATGAAGTGTATCATGGTTTTCCACTCCTTCTTAATGACAGTTCACTCCATTATTACTTCTTATAGATGTGTGGCACTTACTCTTCAAGACAGGTACCTTTTCAGCCTTCCTTCCCACTTGCAGTTTTCTTCCATGTACTGGACACTGGCCAGTTGTAGCTGTAGTTTAACACCATGTGTCCTGGTCATGAACAGCTGAATCCCTGTTCATGTTACTTTCTTTCCTTGGAATACCATCACTCTTATCTTGTTTGTAACAATAGATAATAGAAAAAGAAAGCCCAGCTGTACACATCGATTAACATTTGCTGTGTTCCAGCTAATGTATTCATTGGTTTATTTGCATTGTTGCACAAAATCCTGCTGGCAACCCTTGTGTTATTATCCTCATTTTAGAAATGAGAAAACTTGAAGTTCTGAAGATGTAGTAAATTATCTCAGGTGAGAAAGCCAGGTGGCTTTATTGTCTGCTGCTTTGTCCATACTCTTAACCTGTGTACTAGATATACAGCCTCCCTCTTCTCCTTTGTTTAGAATCACTGCTGTGTGTAGACTTCCACCCTTCTGCAAACTCCTCCAGCATAGAGGCTAGATGAACACTTAAGTCTCTGAAGCAGCTCAGGGGAGGTTACCATGGAATAGCTGACATGGTCCTAACGCCTATGAATCCTTGTATGCAGCCTGCTTCCTGCCTCACTGCAGCTCACTCTCCAGTGTGTCATCCTGTTGGGTAACCACACACAGATCTTTTTAGTGCTCAGCTCTCTTTGCATATCTCCTGGCCCCAAAATTTGCAGACCTCAAAAACTTCCACCCAAAAATTTGCAGCAATCAAGTAACTTCTTTTTCACACTCTTAAATTCTAGAGGGAATAGCTGCTTTCTACTCTTGCTTTTTCTATACCTTTTTTAGTAGTTAACATTAAAAGAGCAAAAGCTAAACTGTAGCAGAGAGGAGACATTTGCCATATACAAAACCAACAAAAGTCATATCCAAAACATATAGACAAGGCAACTTTGAAAGATACAGCATCACAAAGATATCTATGAAAAGCCAATAGCTAATTTACATTTAATGCTGAAAGACCTGTCTTACCCACATTAACATATAAATCCCTGTTAATTCTAATCTGAATCCCCAAAAGGCTTGGGGGATATCTAGATAAAGCAATTGTGAAGTTCAAGTAGAATAATAAACAACTGAAAACAGCAAGAAAAAAAATTGAACAAGAATCTTTAGGGCAGACTTGTCATATGACAGTATCTTCTGTAAAGCTGTTGTAATCAGAACCATGTAGGATTGACATAGAGTTAAACAATACCTCGCTGGGACAGACTGGAAACTCCAAAGACTAACTCGGCATGGTTGAGGCATTTCAATTCAGAGAAAAATGGTAGTTTTATTTAATGTTTTCAATATTGCTTATCCTATTTTACATTGTACACCAAAAAAGACAGATAGATAAAGTACTGCATGTAAAAGTAATACAGGAAGTATACTAGGAGAAGCTTGAGAGTAATATTAATATATGCACAATCTTCAAATTATAGCAATCGTCTAAGGAAAATCAGAAAGGTTAAATGCTGTGAAGAAATCAAGTGGACATCAGAAACAAAATGATGCTGGATGGTAAAAGGCACCATTTGCAAATCTCTAAGGCAAAAATGTTTTTGGAAATGTTTCAGTACATATGACAAAGATTGTCTTTGTCGATATAGAAGTTCCTAAAAACTGATTTTTTTAATTCAGTAGAAAATTAGGCAAAGGATATGAAGGAAATTAGGCAAAGAATTCACAGAAGAAGAAATGGAAGTGACTAGGAGATAAAACTCAGAAGCCACATTGACAGTTTACATTAACTAGATTGGCAAAAGACTAAAATGATTGATAACATGCCAGGGGGAAATGGATCCTGTTTTCTTTTTTGGAGACAGGATCTCACTATGTAGCTCAGGCTCATCTTGAACTCACCATGTAGCCTGGGATGGTCTCAAACTCACAATTCTCTTTTGTGCTGGGATTATAGGTGTGTATCACCACACCTGGCTGGGAAATGGATACTAGAAAGATCTCAGACATTTAAATCTTTTAGCTTTCATGGCCACCAGTCCCTATTTGGGGAATTTTATCTTACAATAATGAAAAACATCTATACATAAGAATATATGAAACATTTATTATGATGTTGTCTATGTAGTAGGAAGGAAAATTTTGACAAAAAGATGGAATGGCTGGAGGTGTGGCCAGTGGTAGGGTGCTTGCCTAACGAGTGCAAAGCCCCAAGTTCAAGTTATAGTACTGTCAAAAAAAAGGGGGGAGAAGATGAACATAGCGAATAGGTTAACAAATTATGTTTTCTCCATATTATGAAATATGTGACTATTAAAAATATTTCCCTAAATCTATCCAGATTGGCCTGAAGTATTACATGAAGAAAAACACATTACAGTATTGTATGACCCCATTTGATTAAAAAAAATATATATATATTTCTCCATTTTTTCCCCTGGGCATAGAGAAAGCTAATTGTGATTACTTTAGGGAAGAGACAGGATTTAAGGAAGAGCATTTAGGGGAAATTGATCACTTTTTCTTCACTTGTAGATTGTTTAATTCATAACAGTGATCATGTGTTATTTTTATAATTTAAATTTACAATGTTAGATTGTTTTGAAATAACTTTTTAAAAAACACAATCCTGGCTAAAAATAAAAACCAGTGTTCTTATGTTCAAATCAACAAAAACAGCTCTATGTGAAAAAGACATCGTTACATGGAATTAGTCCCATCTCATGTTTTTGCTTCTGAAATTTAATGGTACTTATTCTCAAAACAGATCAAACACCCCAAATTATCAGTAGTTGGAAAGTATGAACTATTTGTTTTCAGAACTTATAAAGAAATCCACTATTCTTACCAAATGGCTGTTCCACACCTTTCTTTCTTTCTTTTTTTTTGATGAGGGCCTCAGGCTTGCTAGGCAGGTGCTCTACCCTCTGAGCCACACCTCCAGCCTCTCCACACTTCTACTTATCTTATACTCTCACTTTCAAGAGCTAACAGCTTCCCCATTTCTGTTCCCTCGTATTTGTGGTTTTCTTTACCTTTCTGCTTCTAGTCTTTTCCCTGCCCACCATATTGTGTCAGACAGTTTTGTAAGAACCATCAAATAGTCTTGTCCATGAAATAAAACTGTCTAACTTCAGTTAACATCCCCAGCGTCCTCAACCACAGACATAGCTACATTCTTTCAGACATTGGGACTGCTGCTTGGCACATTGGTACACACATCCTTCACTTACTCCTCCTGGAATCACAGAGGGCTAAGTCAGACTATACTCCTCTGTAAAGTCTCCTATAGTCTCCTGGACAGTCCTCACCCTGTCTTCTCTACCCTCATGTTAGAATACTTGCATTTCCTGAGGGAAATGGTCTTGGTTTTTTAATCTCATTGTATACTGGATAACCATGTTCTTATGGAGGGAGGAAAGGAAGAAATGAAGGAACTTTTCCTGAGCAAATGAAGCTAGGGCTTCTGCCTTCTGTCCCGTGCCTGTTTGTGGTCAGGGTTAGAGACATTATGTTGTATTCACAGTACCCATTTACTGAATACTGAAGCTTTTAGGTAACCCAGTGGCCTCAAAGGGGAGGTAGAATGAGACCAGAATCCTGAGTTTTAGTGATCCTACAGCTGAAGAAATAAGGACATCTCTGCCTTCTGGTTATGGGTGACTGCAGAGCATGGGACATGACTTGGCCCATTCTGTACGTCGGGAATGTTTTCCTTAATTTTATAGAAGGATCCACAAGTTACTGTCTGCCTTTTAAAAGGGTTACAGGTTTAACTTTACACAAAAGCCATTACTATTTTTCTTTGAAATTTGGAAGCTTCCATCAGTATACACTTGGAAAGAGTAGTAAAATAAGGAGAAATGAACCTTACAAAAGCACATTATGTGGCTGCTGTGAAGGAAAGTTCCTTCAGAGTTGTCTTGCTGGAAGTGACTGGGCTTCAAGAATGATTTAGCTGCAGTCCAGCTGCTGGGTTTTGCTTTCAGAGCCAGGATTCAGTGAGGAGCACAGGACAGTGTTCACTTTGAAAGGCATCTAGCAATTCAGCAGAGTCCTAAATGTTCAAGTGTGCATAGCAGTTGCCGCGTGTGCAGGGCACCATGTCCTTCCATTGTTGCTGATACCACTGTGGATGTGTCTTTCTGCAGCTGTGGTGCCCCCATCCAAGTGTCTGAGGCGAAGCTGCTCTCCTTTTCATCGGGGCAGCTGACCGTCTTCCTCCCGGCTGAGGTGAAGGCCATAGGGACAGAGAACGATCATGTCCTACCTCTCCAGGAGTTGGCCATGAGGTGTCTCTATCATACCTGCCACAGGTTTCTAAAAGGTACACGGCATCTCTTCTTTTTTGTCTCTTCTTCAGTGAACAATCAATTGTGTTTTATGCCGCCTGCTTTGGCTTTCTTTTTTTCTTTTTGACAGTACTGGGGTTTGAACTCAGGCCTTCATGCTTGCTAGGCAGGTGCTCTGCCACTTGAGCCACATCCCCAGCCCTTTGGCTTTCATCTTTTAAAAAATTTTATCATGGTAAGATACACATAACATAAAATGTATGGCTTTAACGATCTAAGTGTACATTTCAGCGACATTAAGTATGTTACACTATTGTGCAATGGACCCTTTGGGTTTTTCCTTCTTTCTGAGGTGGAGTCTTGCTGTGTTGCCCAGGCTGGCTCTAAACGCGTAGGCTCAAGTGGTCCTCTTGTTCAGCCTCCCAAGTAGCTAGGCCTGCAGCATGCGCCACTGGGCCTAGCTTGGAATTTTCTTAAAAGAAAAGTTAGTGTTTTCTCAGCACTGATCCCTTCTGTGCCCCTACAGATACCGAGGTGCACTTACTACAATAGAATCTTCAGTTGCAAAGGACAGTGGTTCAAAATTTAAACGATATTCAAGTGAAGAAAACCCATTTATGAGAATGTGTGTTTGGATGAAGTGAAAGGCTGACAGTAGGGAAAAATTTGGAAAGAACTATTCTTAAAGCAAAGCTGAACGTCTCTCCAGCAGAGCGGGTTTTCTCCTGGCTGTCTCCTCACATCTGAGAAATGTTAGAAGAAATACGAGGAGCCTTTGGCAGTTTTACCACAGCAGTCCAGCACTTGTTTTGGAAATGATTTGGCTGCACATAGAGGTTATAGGTATCATGGAGCGTATATCTGCAATGCTGTATGAAAGCACAGGCAGGGCTGGGGACAGCTCAGTGTGGAGCATGTGCTTAGCACATGTGAGGCCCTGGAGTCAGTTCCAGCACCAAAAAAAATAAGAAAGCATTAGGCAAAATTAATAAGAAAAATACACATCAAGTGTTTTTAAAGCTGCTAAATGTTTTGTCCTTATAGTGAAAAAAAGAGCCTTAAAAACAAAATCCAACCTTAATTTCCAGGAATGTCTATGACAAAGTCAGAAAGTTCTAGTTATCCACCTGTGCACAAACTACTTTTTTCTAAGTGGTTATTGATGAGTCTTGGAAGGTATCAAAGGTTAAGAATAATTCATACTTCCTTTCCGTTGATGATAAGTTTTGGATTTGACTTCATTATGATATACATCTGTTGGATGGGCGTCAGGGATGTTTTGCTGCTTTAAACATCTCTTTTGTAAGTAGCTCAGGTGATGCTGAGAAAGAAAGCCCCTGGTTTAATTAGTGACAACTCATGGGAATGAGACAAGGAAAAGCTTGGTTTTACTGTTTTTCATTCTCTTTGGCCTCTGCATTTCACTTCTTTCCATAGACATAACTTAGCTTTGATTGATGCTTGCCCAATTATGTGCCCAGGAGGTTTAGTGGGAACTTAATGGAAGTCAGCAGTAGTCTTCAGCCCCAGTCCTCTGTTGATTCTCTGACTCTTATAAAAGCTTGCAAAACTCTCTCTGGGTAGATTGGTGCTTTTTTGATCCTCGTTCTTAAAGACTATTTGATCTTTTTCTTTGTTTGCCTCTACCTCAGGATAGCTTCTAGTTGCTTTAAAAGAGTGGTTTTTTCATTTTCTTTTCGTATCAAAAATATAAAAAAATCTTTCATTTTCTAATAATGTTAGATTTTTATTGAATACCTACATGATAACAAAATTTTCAACACAAAGTACTTTTAACTATTTGAACTTGTTTGGTACCAAAGAGAAGTATTTGAAGAAGTCTGGTTTAAGAAAGTCTGATTTTTCAGTCATGTGCATGATTTTCTCTTTTGTTCCAGATTTGAACTTTTTGTCTCCGATCTCATTACCCAGAAGTCTCCTGGAGCTGCTGCACTGCCCCCTGGGGCACTGTCACCGGTGTAGTGAGCCCATGTTTACCATCGTCTACCCCAAGCTCTTTCCCTTGAGAGAGACGCCAATGGCAGGGCTGCACCAGGGGTAATCACGCCTAAGTGGGCACCAGGGTTTACACTGAAGCGAGGGGTGCATCATGGGGAGAGCATTGTTAAGTCTGTGGCTTCCAAAGGGTGAATATGCTTCCTGAGATGCAGCTAAATGAAACAAATATGCATTTTCAGCATTACAAGAAAACTGGACTTCCCTCTTACTTAATTTTTCAGTCATATACAGAACCAGCCTCATGTATTATTTAGAGTAGCTCTTTGTGGAATCTTTTCCTGCTATTCCCCTGTTCACAATAGTCTTTAGGCAATGAGGATGCAAGAAAAATAGTCATGGCATAATGGCACAAGCCCAGCCCTTCTGCTTAATTGGCGTTGCAAACAAAGTGTATGACCAAATTCTGTGTGCATGCACGTGCGTGAGTTTCTGTTCTCTTGCCACTCATTTCCTGGCATGATGCCTTGAGTTTGCTCAGAATGCTTAGTAAAATCTCAGTGCAGATTCTCTGGTTTAGAAAAAGACTACCAGACAAAGCTAGGACAGCAAGTTAAAATCAGCACACACACCATCATCACTTACGAATTTTCTAAGTGTATTATTTCTAAGTTGGAATTCTTTTTTTTTTTTTTTAAATTTTTTAAATTTTTACTGTGCATACAATGCTTGGGTCATTTCTCCCCCCTGCCCCTACCCACTCCCTTACCACCCACTCCGCCCCCTCCCTCTCCCCCCCACCCCCTCAATACCCAGCAGAAACTATTTTGCCCTTATCTCTAATTTTGTTGTAGAGAGAGTATAAGCAATAATAGGAAGGACTAAGGGTTTTTGCTAGTTGAGATAAGGATAGCTGTATAGGGAATTGACTCACATTGATTTCCTGTGTGTGGGTGTTACCTTCTAGGTTAATTCTTTTTGATCTAACCTTTTCTCTAGTTCCTGTTCCCCATCTCCTATCGGCCTCAGTTGCTTTTAAGGTATCTGCTTTAGTTTCTCTGCGTTGAGGGCAACAAATGCTAGCTAATTTTTTAGGTGTCTTACCTATCCTCACACCTCCCTTGTGTGCTCTCGCTTTTATCATGTGCTCAGAGTCCAGTCCCATTGTTGTGTTTGCCCTTGATCTAATGTCCGCCTATGAGGGAGAACATACGATTTTTTGTCTTTTGGGCCAGGCTAACCTCACTCAGAATGATGTTCTCCAATTCCATCCATTTACCAGCGAATGATAACATTTCGTTCTTCTTCATGGCTGCATAAAATTCTATTGTGTATAGATACCAATTTTCTTAATCCATTCATCAGTGGTGGGGCATCTTGGCTGTCTCCATAACTTAGCTGTTGTGAATAGTGCCGCAATAAACATGGGTGTGCAGGTGCCTCTGGAGTAACCTGTGTCACAGTCTTTTGGGTATATCCCCAAGAGTGGGATTGCTGGATCAAATGGTAGATCGATGTCTAGCTTTTTAAGTAGCCTCCTAAGTTGGAATTCTTTAAGTTTAAAAAAAAAAAGTAATATAGTACCTCACTTACCTTTCAAAGGTGGTATTTGGGGTGGGCAAATTTTCCAGATAACTGAAGCTTGTTAACCCCAGTTAATGCTAAGAAGCATTCCCATTGCACTCATTTTTTGTGGTTTTTGTTTTGTTTTGAGATGGGGTCTCACTTTGTAGCCAGGCTGACCTCAAATTCTTGATCCTTCTGCCTCTGCCTCCTGATGCTGGGATTACACGCATATGCCACTATACTCAGTTTCATTGTGATCATTTTATAGAAACTTTTCCAAGATTTTCCTTCCTTCATTTCTTTTTCTTTTCTTTCTTTCTTTGTTTTATTGTTTTGTTTTTTAATCCCAGTGCTTGGGATGGACCCCAAGGTCTCCTGCATGCTAGGCAAGCACTCTACCACTGATACCCCTGTCTCCTTCTTTCATTTCTTAATCCATGCAGAGTAGTCAAGGCTCAGAGCATGGACTTTGCACCAACAAGTGTGGCCCTTCTGCTGTGAGAGGGTGGGGGGCTGCTGAGGTTCTCTTGAACCTGGAAATGGGGACAGAACAGCTTGCATGGCAGAGCCATTGTAACAATTAGCAAATAAAGTCAGACTCTTGACACATAATAGATATTAACAAATGGATTACCTTTTCCATGTCTGAACCTGTTCTTTCCAAAAACAGTTTATCTTTTTCCTGCTCTGGATAATCCTGTTTGGTATGCTTTCAGTTCCTGCTTCAACTTTTATATTTTCTAATGTTTCCTGTACTCTGAACCTTTTTAATTTGGTACTGAGAAAAACAAACTCCAAATTCAAACACAGACCGTTTGTCCTGCTGTACACTCACAACACAGGTCACTTCTGACTGCAAATGTTCAGTATTTTCCCACACACCTAGCAAGCAATTGGTTCTGCAGTAGGAGACTCCAGTTTAATTCTGACAGCGCTTTCCTTTTTTGTTGTGATTTGTGGTGCTGGGGTTTGATCTCAGGAACTCAAGCTTGCGAGGCAGGTGCTCTTCGACTTGAGGCACACCTCCAGCCAATTCTGATAGTCCTGACACTGTCTACCTAGAGATAGCATCAGATCCTACAGGGGAGGGCTTGGTCCCCAAGGTGTGGGCCCCCCAACTTTAGATGCTACTCACCTGCTCCAGGTTGTTTTACCTGTGCTTCTAAGAAGTTGATATAAATTAGGTTCCCATAACACCACCCTTGGGTTTGAGTAATTTGCTTGAGCAGCTCACAGAACCCAGGGAAGCACTTTGCCAGCTTATTATAGAGAATATTACAAAGCATGCAGAGGAAGAGATGCACAGGGCGAGGTCTAGGAGAGAGGTGCAGAGTTTCCATGCCCTCTGTGGGTATACCACCCTCCAGGAACCTTCTGGTGTTTAGCTTTCCAGAAGTGTATCCTTTTGGGGTTTTATGGAAACTTTGTTACATAGTCATGATTGCTCAGAGACAGGCTGGGAAAGCCCAACAAAGCCTGTGAGCTTCCCAATTCTTTTTGGCCTCATGGTATGGCATTCCTCCTCTGAGGTGTAGGCAGGACCCCTCTAGAATGAGCAGGTCTCATGTCGTACCATCCATAAGGGTATGTCAGACAGTTTATGCCCAGTTCCAAGACAGAAAATCTGGGGAAGATTAAAAGTTTGTGTGATTTGCCTTGGGGAGTGAGTTATCAAGCAGGAGCCATGGAACAAAACCCAAAAAATATGTATCATAAGATCATAGTACTAATTTTAGGTGGTCACATAAACAAACTTGGTAGAATTGCATTTAAATTATAGTAAAAAGGTCTGAGTCGGGATCCAAATGTATTACTACAAGAGTGAAATTAATAAAGGAAATGGACACATCTGTGCCAGCCAGTAGAGCACAGTGATCTGCGTGTAGGCACATAGGTGCATAGGCCGTGGTCCTGACTCTTCTGCTGGGAGGCATTGAGTGAATTTCTGAACATCTAATACAATGAGGATGATAACTACTTACATGTCTACCTATGAAGAGCCCAGACAGTGAAGTAAATACCAAACAAATGTTAACCTTTCACATCTGTTTTTATAGTTTAAAGGTCTTTTATTTCTTATTTTTGTTGTATTTTTAGCAAATGATCTTCATATTAGCAAGATGTCATTATAGGAAAGTCTTAAATACATTAAACTGAAGTTTTAAAATCCTAATGCATTTTTCTTTTTTTTTTTTGGTGGTGGTGCTAGGGTTTGAACTCAGGGCTTCATGCTTACAAGGCATGCACTCTATTGCTTGAGCCCTCTTTACTCTTTATTCTGATCATTTTGGAGATAGAGTTTCACTTTGGACCCAGGCTGGTCTTATTTTAAGCTTCCTGCCATTGCTGGAATAACAGGCACACACCACTATGCCCAGCTTTTTTCCATTGAAATGGGATCTCTCAGATGTTTTTGCCTGGGCTGGCCTGGAACCACTATTCTTCTGATCTCAGCCTCCCACATAGCTTAACACGAAAGATGCACATACCACGGCACCCAGCTATTGGTTGAGATATGGAGTCCCTTGAACTGTTAGCCTGGGTTGGCCTTGAACCCTGATCCTCCCAATCTCAGCCTCCCAAGAAGCTAGGATTAAAGGCATGAATCATCAGTGTCCAGCTAATGAATTGTTATTGTACAGTTTCATGTAGAAGACGTTCCCTTACTGCTAATAAGAAAGTGCAAACAAAACATTGTAGTCAGAATGCTCAGTTAGTATTCAAATTCCAAACATCTATTTTTAAAAATAGAGCCTTCAAATGAAGTAATTTTTGTTATCTTTATATAAAATTTGGGCAACTTCATTAGCATTTGCATTTTCCATTTATGACTACTTACTTGCCTGCCACAACCTAGAAAATTGGTGTAAATAAGCTTAGATTGTTTCAGTACATAAATATAATCATATTAATCTAGTAAAATGAGTCTTCAAGTACTAAGGGCTTGGGCAGTGCACTTTTGTTGAGCAAAACCAGAGTGTCTGTGTATACGGCAGAGATAAACCATGAAGACTGACGTGGCTTTCTGTGGTGAGTTAATGTTGGGTTCTGAAATTGAGAGTTTGTGGCTTTCATTTCATCCACTAGACTATGCTCCTTCCCATGTTGCCATGGAGACTGTATTAAAAGTATTGACTTCAGTCTTCTATCATAGTCTTTAAACCTCTTTCTTTGGTAACTGAAACCTAAATACTTGAATATCTCCAGTCACTTATTGCTGAAAATAAAAATCAATATTTTTAATATCATAAACTCTAAATGGTCTTGATAATATTAGTTTGAATTTTTCTGTATTGTTTGCATTGTTTGTCATACAATAATGCATTATATCAGCCAGTATCTAAATTCATGTGGACATCTGGCATTATTTTAAAAGAGAACATATTGAATATTCTTCTAAAATACCGAGTTCCATGGAACTGTTAGCTTTGCCCTAATATTCCAGAGTGAATTCAAAAGAAGTTACAGTATTTTGCATAAACAATAAATACTCAAACCTTCAAGGTAACAGAGAAGAATGGCTAGCAAATTCATGA